TATGGTCCGGAGATAGGGATTAGCTCTATCTAGTTGGCCCAACTGTGTAGGAACCTGAAGACGGAGATAGAGTCCCATCTCCGAAACGTCGTTTTACGTTTTATATTTACTAGACGATGGATAATATCCAAGAAAATTTTTATTCAATAAATAACAGCTGTTTAAAAACGAAGTGCTCGGAAGAATATTTTTGACTTTCGAAAAACGAAGGAAACTGAGAACTGTGAATGCGACAGAACTATGGAATTTGTGACTTAAGACGGATAATCGTTATGATGAGATGGCCACGCGAGTCTGACGAAGGAGACAAGAATTAAACAGAAAATGTTGGTGGGGAAACCCATCTTCGAAAATGGCCACTTGGAAGGTCAGGAAGGAAGCTGGAGGAATTAACGTCTTGGAGCAAATGCCTTATTGAGAAGCACTTTATAGAACCCAGAAGGTTCATTGCAGTGAAAATTTACGAGACATTTTCCTCCAAAAAAAAATACTAAACAGCGTAACAATTCAGAAAACCAAAATCGGAATTTTCACTGTAGCGAGAACCTCAACTTTCGTATCAAACTATTCATTTCAGAACGCACATCACTTAAAATTAATTTATGTTCCGACTAATGCTCGTTCATACACCACACCTCATTTTCGTAGCTCAAATGCCAATTAAATGGACTGGTGATCTATGGCTTCTTTGTAGTCCTTACAGCCTCGCAATCATCTATGCGAAATAAGATAACTCATCAATCAATCATACGGAATAAAACAGAATTACGTTGATATAGTCATAATAAAAGATAAGAATTTTTAATATCGCTTGAAAAAAAATTTACTGAGAATGTCATTTTCATCCAGATAACAGATAAGAACTACCAATGTTGCAATTTATTACATGTAATTATTTAATATATTTGCAGATGTAATTTCTGCATTCTCTGGAAGCCGTCGTCTCTACACAAACTGCAACGGATCGGAATGCTGGGAATATTGCGTCCACACTCATTAGGAGCTGCTTAAGAGTAAATATTTATTCTGAGGGAACAGTCGAATAAAGCCATTCTAATTGTTGATATTTGAAGAAATGTTTAATGGTGTGAACTTGAATCTTCGCAGACATCTGGGCAGTAGCCACGCTGTTTATTGACATTATTTTTATACGATGTGCACTGCTAGCCTGAATATAACCTGGGGGGGGGGGGAATTCACTGCATACCGCCCTTAAAATGACAGAATGATAAACGAACTTTAGACTTTTTCAATCCCTAACTAATAGCTCAAGGACATAGGAGTTTGTGTCTTCAGCCTGTGATCTGAATTGGTACAGACTAACATCCAAAGGTAGTAGCAGACAGCACGTATAAATATAAAAAGTATCGTTAAACATGTGTGTCAGAATATCCACGTATTGAGCATCTATACAAAATAACATGAAATCAATTAATTAGTACAGTCATCCACACTCATAAATGACTTTTAATTTAAAGAAATATTATTAATGTTGGCAATCTAGTTCTAACTACGAATAAACAAAACATAGTTTTATAGCTTTTTCATCGTTTTAATGAAAATAGCTTTTTGTATAGACATAGTTCGTAGGAAATATGGTTTTGTTTCTCAGAGTTACGAACTGGTTACAAGGAGAGAAGATCTTTGATAAAGCCTTGGGCCCAGCGAAAGCTACTTTAGGGTTCCATGTCTGACAACGATTTAAAAATACGGAGTGCAGAATTGTATTAATACACTGAATAACATTTGGTTAAATTTTAATCAAAACCCCTAATTACAAACTGAAAACGATTATAAGCGCATGTTGTGCACCCTACGAAGACTTTTCGCACAGACCCACACTAAAGTCACATTGAGCATGATGTATATATATACAGAACAACATCGAGTGCAGGGGTGGCCATTCCGCGGCCCGCGGGCCGCATGTGGCCCGCTTTGAACATTTTTCCGGCCCGCGAGATTCATCACATTAATTTTTAGTGCTATATATTTCTTTACAATGTACGCTTAGTATCATTATTATTATATTATCTATGTTTACATGTAAGAATAATAGTAAACACAATAATAATAACTCATTATGTTTCAATTTTTCACTCCAAAAAAATGTCTATAGTGTATCTAAATCTAATATGGGGATATATAATTTTATATGTGGCCCGCAGAGTTATGATGCATTTCCAAAGTGGCCCGAAAGATCATTTGGGTTGGCCACCCCTGATATAGAGCGTGCAGTGATTACGTAAGGAACAGGAAGGATACTGTAGTGCCTATTATAAGGTTCTATCCTGTGAGACTGGATAGTAAAACAAATTCTAATATAGAGACTCGAATTGCGTATATTTCGAAAGCAAGTCGGACGATTTACAGCTTTTGCTAACCCACTCTGTAGGATAATAATGCTGATGATGATAAAATAAAAAGAGACGTACACGTAACATTTAAGAATTCAGCACATACTGAAGAAAAAACTTCACCATTACAAAGATCAGTTTGTTAGCATCGTTTACGGAAATAACCCCTGTTTACAGCGGGAGTCAAACGATACGCATACATACAAAATGCAATGCTGCTTATTGTTAAAGCAGGTGATACATGTAGTTATCACTGGACTTCAAAGGGTTTCAGCAAATGGATCGAAAATAATAACAACATAAGCACTTGAATCAGCAATCAATTAGGATCTCAAGTTCTCACAGCAATGAATAGGAAGATGGCTGTCTTCTGGGCTGTGATTGAGACAGCACGTATCACTGAAACGCTGGAAAACTTTTATCAGACTACACGGCGCCATCTTCGAGGAAATTACGACTGTGCCCGTTTCGAGCAATGGGAAACGGCTTCAAGATTTCGATGTTGCCACTGGCTTAGTCGCCGTAAAAGCTTTCATATGCACCGTCAGATGTTATTTGTAGGAAAACGTATTTAAACACAAACTACAGAAATTTATGTATTAAAATAATACACTATAAAAGCGTCTTTAATATCTATTCCCGTTTTTATGTATTTAACTTCTATTTAACTGCTCAGAATATATAGTATTGGTTGTTAGGTTCATTAAAATGGATGATGGTCCAGAAAGGATGTGGAAGGACGCGGCCTTGGTCTAATTTCAGTTACTATCCAAGCATTTAGCTGGAAGGATGAGAAACTTCACCCAGGGCAGCTGGTCTCCTCATTAATTAATTACAACTGATGGAATTAAGCCCTTTAATTAGGCCACGACCACTTTTTTTCCATACCAAATCCAAGTTTCGTGCGATTACAACTCGAAGGGCAGACCGGAAGCTTTATTTTTAAGTAGTGCATAATTCTGCCAAAGTGTAGTTATTAATTCAGTACACGTCCTAAACAAAAATAGAATTAGTTTCCTGAATAAAAATTTTTTACTTGGATATTATCCATCGTCTAGTAATAAAACGTAAAAAAAAAACGTAAAACGACGTTTCGGAGATGAGGCTCTATCGTTTCGGAGATAGGGATTAGCTCTATCTAGTGGGCCCAACTGAGTAGGAACCTGAAGACGGAGATAGAGCCCCATCTCCGAAACGTCGTTTTACGTTTTTTTTACGTTTTATTACTAGACGATGGATAATATCCAAGTAAAAAAAAATTATTCAATTGACTCTTCACCATCGTCAAGAAGTTTTAAATTAGTTTCCTGTTCATTTATTTTCATTTATTTTTATTCCTAAATTCCTGAAAAAATGAGAATGAAATAGTGGGGTGGGAGTGGCGAGAGACCGAATGCGAGCTAAATGTACGTACCCTTTGTGCTTTCCTCTTGTCGGCTCTCTGGTTCTGGTGATAAATGCGACTGAAGTTGGAGACGATGACAGGCACTGGCAATGCGATGACAAGAACCCCGCTCAGCGAACACACGCCTCCGACAATCTTTCCGGCGATAGTACCCGGCACCATGTCCCCGTACCTGGACACGACAACAAATACTCATTTCACTTGTTTGCTACATGTTTATGACTCATTATTCAG